GGGAGGAAGAAGGAAGGAAAGAAAGAAGGAAAGAAACAGAGACCAGGTCCTTCGTCTTTCTTAAACCATAATCTGCAGTGATTACTGCATCTGATCACCAGAGGGCAACGGTGTTCCTAGAATGAGAACTCTTGACGCATTAAAAAGAGAATTGAGGACATCTTAGAGCTGGAATCATTTGGGTGCCTGGCTTTCATGTTTTTGTTTTGTTTTGTAAGATGAAATATACAGCAAGAATTGCATCCGTCACCAGGACCTAGTTTATGCGCACGGACTTGAAACACCACTCTTGGTTTTATCATGTATTCTCATGGTCTACAGCCCATATCACTTCATTACATAGAGCTAGGGATATAGCTCAGCGGTAGAACATGTGTCTGGCATGTATGGGGCTGTAGACTCAATCCCTAGAACCCAAGGTTAAAACAACTGAACTCACTTAAATTGATTTAATAAGCTGCTGCTGGGCCCTTACTTTGAAAAACTCACTTAGTCCTGGTCACTCATGTTCAAAAGAAGAAGTGCTTACCCCCAAATGAAGAGGGATCCCTTGAAGAAGGGTCACTTGTACTTTTCCCTCTCGGGCATCTACTGGTCCCCAGGCCCAGTTCCAGTTAAGCACAGATGCAGTGTGACAACCTAGTAGGCCATCTACCAACCCTTCCTTTGTGGAAATGAATGCTGTGGCTGCTCTGTCATTGGAGCAGAAGTTCCTACAACCACCTTTCTGGAAGTGGTCTCCATCAGGCTGAGTTTGTGTTCTCACTTGGGTGGCTGAGCACTTCAAAACTGTAAGAATACCAGAAACAAAACAAAACAACAAAACATACCTTTCCTAAGGATGCTAGCCCACATCTGAATTAAGGCCACAAAAAAAAAAAAAGAAAGGAAAGGAAAAAGAAAAAGAAAAAAAAGTAAACAGTAAACAGCACTTGCTACAGATCCCAGGAAGCCAGTCCTCCCCCTTTCTCCACTCTCACTGAGCCTCGAATGCCCTTGCCAGATGTCTATCACCTCAACACCCGCCTGCTTGATTATCTTTAAGAGTGGACTTTAGTAACCTTTGAAGGAAACCAATTTCACTGGATTTGTGGAAGGAACTGACCCCTGGCACACTGGCCTCTTCTCCCTGGCGCCCGAAATCACAGAAGTATTAAATTATCAGGGAGATTTATGGGAAATGTAACATTGTTTCTCAGGGCCTTGTGTCCCACGTTTATTTGTGCTCATGTGCACACACTACACACACCCCTTGGGATGAGGTAGGGTCACCTTGAAGTTCAGGAGCATTATACCACTACAGATGAGCAGCACCAACGCTCCTGCTGGAAGGAAAGGAAATGAGCTTTCTTCCTTCAGGTTTTGAGAGCTAGCTTCTTTTGTAAAGATGCCAAGGACTCATTTTTCAAGGGATAGCTTAAAAAGCACTAAAATGCAAGGTATTTTAGAACTTTAAAAAATTACACTTATTTATTATATGTGTGCATGACTGCCATAGCAGGCACGTGGGAGTCAGAGGAAAGCTGGGGAGTCAGTTCTCTTCTTCCACCTCTAGGGCAGAGGAACAAACTCTGTCAGGCTTGCCAGCAGCACCTTTACCCAATGGTCATCTCACTTAGTCCTATTTTATGACTTTTAAAAATTATATTGGATCGAAGAAGAATAATCCCTGGTATTTGATAATTGGCATACTTTGTCAGTCTGGGGTTTTTATTTCTTTGTTTTTGTTTTAATAGGCAATTCTCCCCGCAAATAACGAGGGAGGCTGTCTTCAGGGATCTTCTTTCCTCTAAGAAGACAAGCTCTTAAGTTGTGACTTCATTTCTCTGGTGAACTAGTAAAGGCTGGAGCTTGGAGTAGGGAATATTCCTGAGACAGTAATGATTGTTATGTTGTTGCTGTTTGTTATTTAACAATCCCAACAGTTTGCCTCTTTCTAGAAATAAGGAAATAAGGCTAAGAGTCGAAAAGGTGATTCCCATCATCGGATGCTAGATGACTTTATCATCTCACCAATTTAAATCTTATGCTTGGCTCTACATAAGATATAAGGCTGCGGGTCTGTGGCTTTGTGGAACATCCGGGAGCCTCCTTGCCTCGGAACTCTGCAGTTGTGAAACTTTAAAAATCTGTTTAACGAAGAGGGAAACCTGGCTTCATTCATACAACTCCATATCCACAGTCACTGCCTGGAAATCAGTAAGCAATCCACGAGCTGAAAAGTTTTCCATCGTGGTTTCAGTTATGCAGAAGATTGCTGCCCTGTCACTCCCTGGTTAGATCAGAAGGACACCAGAACTAAATGATCCCTCCGCAGACCCGTGAGAAACCTTTACCACTTTATCCCGAAGCCTCGCACGATGGCCTGCCATGAACAACGAAATTCTAGAAACTTGTCTGCGCTGCAGAGAGCTGGCTGAGCTTTTGGACACACCTCCCCTATTTTGGTAGGAGCCATAGAGTCTAAGCCATGGGTCGATTGGGTACACAGTGCGCATGCCAACAGCCTACCCACGCTGGGTACCCCGACCAGGGGCTGTTGTTCGTGGGACCCTTTTCTCACGTTCTCAAACCTGCTAAATATTTCTGGCCACGGAAATACCAGAAAGGCAGAGGCAGCGTTGGAGGGCTCCGCGCCTCTCGTGCGACACAAGCTCAGGCTGGAAGCGCTGTGGTCCCCGAGCGTGTCCCGCCGCGTCGCGGCTCACTCACCCACGCGCGGCCCTCCTGCACGGCGGCCAGCACCCGTAGCGCGCTGGGCGAGCCGGCGCGATAATTGAAGAAGTGCAGCGCAGCGCGCGCCGCCAGCTGCAGGATGCCGCGTGGCAGCCCTACGGCCGGGGGCTGCCCGGGGACATCGTTGTACTCCGGATCCGCGGGCGCTGCGGCAGCAGCGGCCAGTGCGAGCCTCGGCAGCAGCCAGAGGCTCAGCAGCAGCGCCGGCAGCGGGGGTCGACGGGGCTGCATGGACGCGGGCGACAGGGGCCCACGGGGCTGCGTGGATGGGGAAAACTGGCACGGAGCTCCCCAACCCGGTTCTCGGTGCTCGCGGAAATAGGCCACGGCGGCCACTCCCCTCCGCCCCCGGGTCACCGCCCTTCTTTGCCTCCTCTGTCCAAGCCGAAGGACCAGAAGGCGCCTCCGAGAGAGCGGGTCAGAGAGCCTGTCCCTGATGACGCGGTGAGAGGGGACATGGGACAGTGGGGCGCCTCCTTGAGGGCACACCCCTACTCCAGTTCTGGGAACTTGACTTGGCGCCTGTGGCTGCTGCGATTTCGCAACCCTCCGGTTTTAGAGTGAACCCACTCCAAAGGTTAGATGCTGGTGAAAGAGAAGACTGGTGGTGACAGGGACCGCGGCCTCAGGCCTTGATGGGGAGTTTCAGAAGAGGCAGCTGGAACAGGGAAAGTGTGCTGAGGGCAGGAGCTGGTAGTGAGCACCTGCCGGCGAGTCAGAGAGGAGGGGCGGTGGGCGACAGGACAGAGGTTTTGAGAATCAAGTAAATTAATTAATACTGGACAGGGGCCTTGGGTTGAAGCCAGATTCGAGTGGAATGAGGTGTCAAATCAACGTGTCAGTGAAGGCAAGAGGTAGCTGTTGTTTTCTAAACCACATGTAAGAGAGAGATGGCTCAGCGAGTAAAGATGCTTCCCACCAAGCCAGATGACTGGAGTCTTCCCAGGACCAACATAGTGGAAGGAGAGAACATACTCAAGCAAGTTGTCCTCTGACCACCACCCACCCACCTACGACACAACAAATTAAGTAATAAATGAAATGTAAGAGAGACAGAAAACGAGAAGCCCCAGAACAACCAGAGATACTCAGGGGGCTAGCCCACTTCATCATCATCAGCGGTCTCCATACTGAAGAACCAAAGAATGGTTGAGACTCAGTTTGTTAAATGCTACTTGTGATGTGGGGAGATGCCTGCTGAAGGAAGGGAACAGTTGGCTGGTTATCTTCCCTGCCATTCCAGCCTGCAGCCTACTACCAGCCATCCACCCTAGACTCCAGAACTCAAAAATGGGATTCTGGAGCGAACTGTCCTATGACCACCTAGCTACGAGCCCGTGGACAAAGAGCACCTATACAAACAATACTCCTCTCTGTTGCCCATCTGTGAATTCTTTCCTTCTGCAGATTTATGAAACACCTGGGCCATAGGGAGATAAGGATGAGCAAACCAGATAAACATCTGGAGTACATCTACAGTCCACCAGGCCTAGGGAGTGTGTCCTGTGCTGTTTGCAATAGCACGCTCTGCAGAAAATTGAGGAGGGACCCAGAAGCCCTAAGTCAGGGCTGGCAGTCATATCTAGCGGGACAGCAGAATCATTGGGGGTAGGTGGAGTATTTCAAAAAGGCCCCCACACACTTAGTCTCCATTTTCTTTTCCTCTCTCTTACCCTGTCCCTAGACTAACCATGGTCAGTATTCACATGTTCACTTGGAAAGCAAAGTGGACATCAGCCATCAGAAAACATGTATCTCCTAGTGTAGATGCATGGCCAGAACACCTGTTCCCCCTCCTGTCACAAATGCCAATGAGCAGAGATGGATGAGGTCTTACGTTGCACCTTATACAGAAAAACAGAAAATCAGAGAAGGCACCAGATAAACATCCTGAGGACAAGCTGCCTTCCATGTCACTGAGCCAGGAGGAGGAGAACAAGGCAGTCATCCCGGAGCTGCCACGCCCCTCTGCTCATGGGGTCAGCCACATCTTCGAGATTAGAGATGGTTGTGCCTCCTCCTCATCTTCCCTGAAAGCTTCTGTCATCCTTTAAACATCCAGGCTCAGGAACTTTCCTGGAATATGGAATCTAGTAGATGTCTTCTGCGTTTGTCCAGGGCATAACTCAGAACAAGTAAGCTAATTCACAGCATGTATGTACTAAGCTGTTAACATATACATGCAGATTCTTTTTGACATTTAAAATTCACTTTGAATTCAAAAGTGTCCCTATCCATAGCTCCTGTCAAGACGTCCCAGTGGCCGCTGGATAGTCATGTATGTACAGAATACCTCTGAAGAGCCAACCAGAAACAGCTACAGTGGTTGCTTTTGGATAATGGGAAGTGAATGGGCTTACAATGTTGGTCTTTTGACCTGTGCTATTACCCTCAGGTTATCCAGAGCCTGGAACCCCTGCTTGGAGCCAGGATGCTTGGGTTGAGCTGAATTTCCCAAGAACAACAAGTTCCTGCCTTACCGGGTGATTATGAAGTTCAAGTGTGCTAATATTCACATGTACGTGCTAAGCACAAAGTAATGGCTATTTGAAATCGCTATCATTGTTGTCGCTGCTAACAAATTAAAAAGAAGCTTGACAACAAATTAAAAAGAAGACAAAGAATAAATCCAGCTGTCACTTTCTTTTTATAAATGAAGGAGGGGTTGTGATTTAAAAAAAAAAACCTGCTGGGCTATTCAATAAAGGCTATTCAATAAAGATATTTCCTCTAACCTTCTATAGCCGAGTCTTTTATAAGAACTATTAGCAATCAAGCTGTATATAAATCTATATTCCTTTGTTATTTCTTCCCCCTGGCAAAGATGAAGGTACAAGGGTTTGGCAGATGGATAGGGGTAATTCCACGTTGACTAGATATTGCTGAAGTCCAGTGAAGCCCAGACAGGATGGGAAAGATGTTTATTTCTGAGTCATGAAACCAGTGACACTAGTGGAGAAGATGTAGCCTGTCTGATTCCTTTGGCCTTAATTTCATGTTCTAAGAGCCTTGGCTCTTGTTAAGGTTAGACCTTGTGAACTTACACATTCCCTATACTGTGCCCCTAGCCCATAATATCTGTCTCAAAACCCCTTGAGGAAAGCTCTTAGCTGGCTACAGAAAAACAGGAGCCCTACTTGGTAGTGCCAACTGTTTTCCTAGTAGATATGGCCCCTCAGGTCTTTGCCATGGAGTTGCTATGGGTTCTTGGGGGACTTCATGGTGTCACTGACCCACCTGAGGCTCACAGTGGCTGTTGTAAGACCCTAGGGGTCCTTGCTTAGGAGCATGACCCTGAGTTTGGGGCTTCTAGCACCTAGCCACATTGTCTTAAACTCTACAAGGGAGTCAAAGGCTGCAGGGCAAAGGGAGACGGGTTGTTATCAAGCCACTAACCACAGTTTTCTTAACCCAGGAGGTTAAGAGCTGAGGCTTGCCTGCAGAAGCAAATTCTTTCTGAAGGCTGAACTAGAGACCAGGAAGGTCCTTCTCAAAGAGATGCTGTAGAAATCAGGGTGCTCATTTTTTCTTCTGCCACCAAGGAAAGATTTTAAAGAAACTAGTATTTGATGTTTGTGCTTCAGAACCCAAGTGGACAGGGCACTGTCCCGGAGAACTTTCTGATGAAGATGTCATATCTGCACCAGGTATATGTAACTTCAGCTGTGCATCAGATATGCCAAATGCAGCTGAAGATCTGAAATCCTAATTTAAACTTACTTAAATAATCTTAACTATTTGTGGCTGGTGCTCTTGCCTGAAAAAAATACATAATTTGTGATATACACATAATTTGTGTTATATATATGTTTCATATATATATTTGTTTCATAAATATACATATATAAACATACAAACACACACATTCACACATATGTATACACTACTATAGCAGAGGTGCAAACAAAGAGTTCTGGCTAAACCATGAGTAAATTCATTTCGTTTTACCAATTCCAATTTCCTAGCTTATTTTGACTTAATAAAAAAATCACTCTCCTAGTTTTGCTTGAAATACAGGGAAACCTGTATTTCAGTACATAACAGGTGGTGGTTATGTACTCATGTACCTAGTAAGAAGCCTGCCTGGAATCAGGCCTTCATAAGTCCAAGACATGGTCTAGGCGAAGCTTTCAGCCTAACTTAGGACCCTATGAGTAGCAGCTAGGCTAACCAGAAACTTTAGAGAAACTTCTGTAGCCCCTATTGACGATTAAGTATCACGTTTCCTATGCTCAAACGATTTGATGATTTCGCTACTGCCTGAAAGTTCACAGTGGAACCTGTGTGTGTGTCTGCTCTGGATGTGGGGGCATCACTAAGCATGAGGTAATTAATAGATAGACTTGTTATTCAATTTTGTACTCCATTAGCTGTGGTCAGGAAACAATTCTTTTAAAATTCTCATGTATTCATGTTAGAAGGTAAAGGTAATTTAAATGATATGGATTTCCAGGGAAAAAAATTGCTTCTCTGCAAAGACTTTATAAACTTATTTTGACAAGTAATTGGCAACAGATAGTTTTGTTTTGTTTTAATATAATGAAATGGAAATAATTACTAACTTCTGTTAGATTTTGCAATTTTCCAAAGCAAGCCATCAGTCCTGCCGTTCCATGCTAGTTAAGAAGATGGTGTCTGTAAGCTAAGTCCTATGGTTCTGGTGAATTTGGCATAGTTTTATTTTATATCAGTCACTCAGGGCAGGACATTCACCATTCCAAAAATGAATTGACATTGTATCTGTCATCTATAATCGGAGATATTAAATACGTTACACATTGGGATTACTTCATTTTTTTCAAGCAAAGAACATTAAAATGAAGCTTGAAGTAATAATCTTTATTATTTCCTGCATAAGAAGCTGATATAGTCATCACAGAGAGACGCGTAAATACAAAGAATGCTTCCCTTTGTTTCCTTTGTTTAGTCTTTATATGCAAGACCTTAATGCTTATAAGTTAAAATTGCATAGAGTATATTATCAAGGCAAATCAAAGTCAGCCCTTCACACCACAAAGGAAGTGAACTGCCCACATACCATGGCCTAGATAACAGACAATGGATGAGAGAGCGTGGGGTCAGTATTTCTCCTCCTTGACATCCTTGCCATTTCGGGCATTGCCAGGCATGATTACAATTGTGGAGACACAGACACATGAGTTGATAAGGAAATTGCAGGGTATGATTACAATAGTGGAGATACACACACCTTGGTGATTTAGGATGCAAAGACTCCAGCTGCCTGAGTTCCTTTGAATGTGAT